AGAAAAGCCCACCTATTGAATTCTGGGAGTTGCAGCTCAGGCGCCTGGCTAGGGGATTCTGGGAGTTGAAGTCCATCCATCTTCACGGGGCCCAGCTTGGAAAAGGCGGCATGTTCGAGGGAGGTTGAAGCTCTGTGAATTCGCTTGATGGTCCTCCCAGGCATGAGCTGAACATCCGAAATTGGGTTTTCAACCGTGGCAATTTGAAGGTGGCTCTCTGGGGAATCCTGGGGGTCGAAGCCCACCTTTGTAACGTTGTCAAGGTTGCCAAACACGGGTCTAAAATCGCCCAGTGTTCCTTTTTCTGCCCCTTCCCTCCTCCTCCTCTAAGGATCCCCTAATCCTCTAAGAATTGGGCGCATCTGTTTCTCGAATCCAAGACGGGCTGCCTGGCATTGCTGCCTCCCCACATGTCTCTTTCCCTGCGAACTGTCCTTCTAGAGGTTGGGGGGAGGATTGTGTTTTAGGGGAACAGGGTGCTTTTTTTGAGTTGTGAATGCAGCCTCCCTCTGGCCACACGTGGATAAGGAGGCATCTGCCGTTTTTCGCCAACCGGGATCCAGAGCCCCTTTCCCCATCATCCCCGCCATGTCGTGGCTAATAAATGTTCAATAAACACTTCACAATCGTCACAGTTTCATTTGTGTCACCTGAGCCTGCAGGGTTTCCGGGAGGATGGAGGGTGGGATATCTTGAGTCACCTTTGTTAAGTCCTTGACGTATGACTGTAATCCTCAATTTACGACCGGTCACTTAGGAATGGTTTGAAGCTAAGATGGAGCCCCCCAAAAGGTACTGAAGACCAAGTTTCAACTCACAAACACACACATGCCCTGTTGCATCGCCATTTGCGCGCTCGACAACCAGACTGCCTCGGCCGCCATTTTCTGCCTCTCGTGGTCATGTAAGGATATTTTACGTCATTTTACATCTGGCTTCCAACAAACGTCTATCTCAGGCAATCGGTTCACTTAAAATCATGATTCGCTTAATGACCATTGCAAAAAAAAAAAAAATCAAAACCCTCTACGGTCTTTCTGTGCGCTGCTTAAAAACCTGCACACCTTAATTGAAATTCTGGACTCAATTTATGGCCTAAGGTGAGGATTACTAACATTTGAGTGCAGAAAGTTAAAATATTGATATTTTCATGATCGAGGTGACAAAAATTTGGGGAAGATCCACTTCCAAGTTTAACTTCTCTTTAAAAAACCTTGGATTTTTGGGTTTATATCCTGCTTTTGTTTTTTACAATTGTGGGTGTTTTGTTTTGTTTTTTAAAAAATGGGACATCCTGGGTGACACAACCGTCAGCAACTCACGTGATGGGCAAAGCGCCTGATCCAAGACATTCAGCTGCCCTTTGTCCTAAAGCGGGACTCGAACTCACTGTCCCCTGGTGATGGGCTATAAAGGGGGACTAGACCTCTCCCTCTCCTGGAGAGTGGCAAGAGACGAGCATATAATAAGCGGACCCTCCTCTCTCCGACCTTGGATCCGTTCTCCTCTTCATCACTGAACCCCACACTCACCTCAGCCCTGACGATGTTCCCTAGCTGGCTCATGAAAAGTCTGCCAGAAAATCACCCGACTCAGAGGGCACCAATCACCTCCCCCCCCGACACACACACACACACAATCCTTTCTTTAGCGACCGTTCCGAGCGACGACGGACGTGCTGGAGAGGCGAGGGGGGGGGGGGCTCCAGCAGCCCAGCCCCGTCTCCTCTTCACCCTCTCCAGCCCAACGGATCTGCTGCCAGGGTGATCTCTCCGATCTCGGACGTCTGGCCAGCTTCCCTCCGGGCGGGTGAGGGTTAACCGTCAAAGAAGGCGGGCAGGAACCGGCTGACTGCAGGGAGGAGGAAGCGGAGAAGTGCCGGGCTTTGCGCTGGATCCGGCTGCGAGTTTTGTTGCCGGCCGGGTTGCAAAGAGATCGGGACTTCCCGGTTTTATTTTTAGGAACGACCGAGGATCGTCCCGCCTTGCAACGAAGCTGACGCCCTCAAGGTTTTGCAACCTGCCTTTTGCGCACAATCCTTTGCTCTGGGCGCTGGAAAGCCCCTTAGTGGCTGCGCCGATCCTGTCCCCTCTTTCCTCCCTCGGGGGACCCCGTGGAGGGGCAGGCGATGTGCAGAAAACCCGCCTTGGTGGTGTTTGATCTGGGTGAGAGGGTTGAATCGCAACCCCCATAGTCCTGGGCTGCTGCTGGGGATTAGGGGAGTGGGAGCGATTGACTGGCCTGGGTGGTCGAGGGCAGGGGGAGACGGGGAAGGCAGGAGGGTCTTCCTCCAGCGTTTGAGGGGAGGGAAACCCCCCCCCTAAAAATCAGTCTGTCTGAATTTTTTTGCAGATTATACCTTGTGGCCTTTTTGGGTGGACACCCACGTGGACCCCCCCTTCCACAAAAATAGGTGAGGGGAAAAAATTGGGGAGAGGTCTCTGGCCGGTAAATATTGTCGTTTTTCTTTTCTTAAAAACCGAGAAAAGGAATTGGCTCTAAAGTATCTAAAACAGTTTTTTTTTCCTCAATAATAGTGACTTTGGAACTAATGGACTTCAACTCCCAGTATTCCTCAATCAGCCAAATTGAAAAGTCCACCTATTGAATTCTGGGAGTTGAAGTCCATTCATGCTGGCTAGAGAATTCTGCGAATTGAAGTCCATTCATGCTGGCTAGAGAATTCTGGGAATTGAAGTCCATTCATGCTGGCTAGAGAATTCTGGGAGTTGAAGTCCATCATGCTGCCTAGAGAATTCTGGGAGTTGGTCCATTCATGCTGGCTAGAGAATTCTGGGAGTTGGTCCATTCATGCTGGCTAGAGAATTCTGGGCTTTTGAAGTCCATTTAGTTTTGCTAGAGAATTCTGGGAGTTGAAGTCCATCATGCTGGCTAGAGAATTCTGGGAATTGAAGTCCATTCATGCTGGCTAGAGAATTCTGGACTTCATTTAGTGAAGTCATTTAGGCTTGCTAGGGAATTCTGGGAATTGAAGTCCACCGAAGTCCACCGATACTGACTGTGGCATTCTGGGAATTAAAGTCCATGCATGCTGGCTAGGGAATTCTGCGGTGAAAATGACCCTTCCTACTATAGTCAGAAGTTAAGGACTATGGGTAGTATTTTGGTCTTGGGTAGGAAACAAGCTAAGTCCATTTTGTGCCTGAATTCTTCCCAGCGATGGGTCTGTGCAAGACCAGAATCAACGGCCTGTCCGTCTCTACCCGGAAGTGCCAGAAGTGCTGCACCTGTTGGACAGCGAAGGGATCGCCATGGCAGCTGCCTCTCGGTAAATCGGGGCCTTGCTCTCTTAAAACCTTCCCCGCTAATACAGGCCACCCGTCCTTGCACCCACCACTGTGGTGAATAAACCACATACAAGTAGTCCTCGACTTACAACGGTTTGTTTAGTGGCCGTTCGGAACTATAGTGGCATTGAAATCAGTGCCTTGAGACCATTTTTTCACACTTAACGCCCTCTGTGGCATTCCGACGCTTGGCAGCTTGACTCGTATTTACGATGGTCACAGCATCGGGGTCATATAATCCCCTTTTGCTACTTCCGACCAGCGAAGTCAATGGGGAAGCTGGACTCACTTAACAACCGTGTGACTAACATATCCACGGCAGGGATTCACTTAACGATGATGGCAAGAAAAATGGTAAAACAGGGCAGAACTCACTTAATAAAAGCTTCAGCGGCTCAGTTGTGGTCATAAGTCAAGGACTCCTTGGAATCTTAGCCCCTGGGTATTTTTCTGGCTCACAGGGAGTCCTCCAGTTACAACTACTTCTTTAGCCGACCATTCGGAGTTACAGCTACACTGGAAAAACCCACTTAAGGACTAGTCCTTCATCTTAAAACCATTGCAGCATCTGAGCAGCCATGTGATCAAAATTCGAGCGCCATCTTGTCACCAATTGGGACCCTCCCAGCCGACTTCGGTCAGGCATCAATGGGGAAAGGAGTTGGATTCATTTAACGACTTCATGATTCACTTAATGGCACTGATTCGCTTAACAACCTTGGCAAAAAAAAAAGAATCAAGTGGCAATTCTCTTAGCAACCCATAGCAATGGAAATTCCCATCCCATTTGAGCTCTTTAGTCGAAGGCTAGCTGTATTTTAAATTCCTGAAATCGCAGACGGTCGCTAGATAAATGCTGGCATGATGAGGCAAGCATTTTAGAGCATGGGCAGAGAGCCAGCGGGAACATTTTGCAGCCCGCCAAAGAACGGGCATAAAATTGCAAAAGAAACAAGTGGAAAACTGAAAATCTGGAAATCAGAACAGATGTTAAGATTTTAGAAGGCCAGGAAGAGTGTAAGACACACTCCAAGTGAATAGTATTTATTTTTGTATTACATTGATATGAATTAAAAATGGGTCTTGCGGTAGCCTAGAGTGGAGCTCTCGCCTCACAATCAGGGTCCTGTGAGTTCAATCCTAGGTAGAGGCAGATATTTCTTTCTCCGGGCACAATGAGAATATATTTGCTGAACTAAACTCCCTATTGGCAACAGGAAGGGCATCCGGACAGTAAACATTCAGTTCCATTCATTTGGCTAGACTCCATCCTACAAGGGATTATGGGGTCATTAAAAGAAGATATTAATTATTGATATTAATTAAAAATATATTTAAATACTTGGTGGCCTGTAAGCTAAAGTGCTGGCCAGAAGCTACAAAAAGCAAATGGCTGGGGAATTCTGGGAATTGAAGCCCCTGGGTCTTAAAATAGCCAAGGTTGTGGACTGTCTTACACCATCATTTGATAGGGCTCGCATTCAGATAACACACTATCCCAGTTTAGGACGATCTCAGCTAGTATTCGGAGAACAGCTTTCTGACAATCCCAGTTTGTTTGTTGAAGGGCACGTTTCTGTACCTGGTGGGGATTCCAAAAAGAAACAGGCTTCCTTTAGCAAACTGAGTTAAGCATGTTGTGTGAACGTATCCTATTTGGGATAAAAATTGGTCCCTGTTGTGGGATCACATCTCAAGCATCTGATCTTTCCCCTCCCAGGACAGGCGAGATCCAAGGAGCCAGACAACTGTTAGATCTTTTCGGCTTAAATCGCTACTTTCGCTACACTGAAATTTACCCTGGCAGTAAAACCACCCATTTCCAAAGGTAAAAACAAAAACTTGGGAGTCTTTGTTTATCCCTGGATTTGGGAGAGGTGGAAGGGGAAATGGGAACAGACTGATATCAAATCCAAAATCTATCTTCACCTCATTTCGCCTTCTGCTCTCTTCTCAACACAAAGTAATTTATATATTGTGCCTACCGTCCCTGTTTTATTGTCCCGATTTATTTGTATTTACTTCATTTGTTCATGTTTATTTTCATACTTATACCTGCTATTTTGACGAACCAACAAATAAATAGAATAAATAAAATCAATCATCCCTTGCGGGGTGGACTCTGGTCAACTAAATGGAGCTGGGTGGGCAAACATTTAACCAGGTTTGTGTAAGGTCTCCTGTGTTCAGAGGGTGGTGGGGGTGTCAGACAAGAACACCTCAGAAGTCCCTTCCGGACCTATAATTCTCCATTCCATGCTCCCCTTGTGTCCTCTCCAGGTTGAATCAACAGAGTGGAATCCCGTTTCATCGAATGCTGTTCTTTGATGACGAAAGCCGGAATATTCATGACGTCGGCACGCTAGGTATCCTTAAAAGATAGGTGCATGATCGGACTCTAGAACCTTCAATTCTTGAAGCAACCCCTCGGCTTAATTGTTCTAGATCCATGTGTGAAACAGGGTAACTAAAATGAGAGTTGACTGTCCCTGTTCATAGGACACACCGAATCAAGATAATTTTCTTCAGCCTAGTAAACCAATCCTTGCAACTGGCAAAGTTAGGCTGGTGAGTTCTAGACCCGCCTTAAGCATGAAAGGCAGCTGGGTGACATTGGGCCAATCACT